TGATTATTCATGGTGTTTTAGATAGAGATCAAACTAATAGACAGACTTTAGGTAAATGTTTAAATGAATCCGTTGCACAAGGCTTTTTCTTCATTATCTTACACAGTTGCAATCCTGCAAAGGTATAGTTATTTCATGCTTTGAATGGGTCCATTGGGTTATGGAGGTGTGATTACAATAACTCTGCAGGTTGGTGTGACCTGTGGTGGTGGGTCCCAATGTGATATATTTTCATTGGGCCCATAATCTTTGGTGGCGCCCCTGCTTGCTCCTCAACATTTTTAACCAACCACAAATTATGGGCTATGTTTTCTATTTTCATGTGATGTGGTGCCACTGGTCAGCAGGTGTCACTGATTGTTACCATGGAAAGTTGGAGGAACTGTTTAGACTTAGACTGCTAAGACTGGCCTAACAGTCTACAATCTCTTTGTGAAACGGATACCTGGTATAAATTATATAACACTCACTGAGTTTGGCTTTTGGGATAAAAACCACTTGGTTCTTTGTACTAAAATGTTGTCTCTAAAGAGACCTTCAAGTACTGTAGAACCCTATGTCTACACTGTTAAGTAACTACCTGGTGACAGTCTCTGTGTCTGTGGTTACACTTAAGTACCCACGGGGCTGGTTCTCCTCCTGATGTTGTATCTCTTCTGAAAACAGTTAAATTCAGATTTTAGTAAATTAAACTCACAAGAAGAAGAAATTTTATAGATTATTGTGAAGCTGTTTAGATAGCTGTACAGTCAGAGCTCATTTACCTGAGCTCTGCTGCTGTTCCAATCCTCCCCTGGCAGCAGTTGAGTTGTCCAGAGACGAACCCTGATTCCTTGTGTGGTCATTTCCATCCTGGGGGGCAGGAGCACAACAGGGGGCAGCAAGATAAATCATTAAATGATTAACAGTATAGGAGAGCAGATGTTCTTTTTATCTTTTCTTTTTTCTTGTGAATTACCAATCATTTTTAAAGTATTTTTTTAGGACAGACAGGCAGAGAGAAGGGATGACATGCGGCAAAGGGCCGCAATTCTAACCTGAAACAAACAAAAAAAGAAAAATTTTTCATTTAGCTGGGCACAACCAGTAGAGGTATTCCGCCAGTAACAAGGGTTCAGAAGTGGACTTTTCTATGGACAATCTATAATCTAATTTACCGTGAACGATACACTGCCCTTATTAAATGTAGCCGTTCTAGAAAAGTCAGTTATTTAATTTAAGAGTTGACATTAAAAGAATAAATATCTTATTGCTATCCTTGCTTAACAATATAATAACCAGGGCCGTAGCCAAGTTTTAAGTGAGTTGAGTCCAAGCCCCGAATATAGTTTAAATCTATGCATTTTAATGCATTTTGAGAGCAACAATAATCACTTAGAAAATAAAAAATAATCAATTAGTAAATAATAATTACACAATTCTAATGTAGCCTTCTCCCCGGTGTGTAAAGAGTGTGGGTCAGCTAGCAGTGGCAGGTTTTAATTTTGGGGGTTTGCTACATGCACCAAAAATGGCATAGTCAGTACAAGGGGAAAAGAGGTGATGAAAAAACTTTACCCGAAAATTACAATTGGATTCATACTTATTTCTTAGCAAAATAAAACTAATAGTTAACATGTTCCAAAGATTGAAGGAAGTTGTAAAAAGTTGTTGAAAGGATACATAGGCCTAATATGTATCTAAATTAAAAATATAATATAATAAAATAGTGTAAATGTAATTCTTATTTACAATAAAATAGGAAAAGGAGGTTTTTTTTCATTGATCAGTAAATTATAGTTATAAATGAGGTACACATTACATGATGCACACATAGCTGTTCAACTGACACAGCAACACTTAAAGGACAGAGACAAACATTATAAACTCCTGATTATACACTTACATAGCACCCATTTGTTATAATACATTTAGTCTTTAAGAAATAACTACTGAGGCCTAGACCTCGGTGCACATGTGTTAATGCTAACATGTTAGCAGGATAGCATGAATCTATAGTCATCGTTACGATTGTGTCAGTAATCAAGACTTATTAACAAACAGACATTTTAAACAATTACATAACACCAATTTCCTTACCATTTATGTTATTACTTGTTTTAATTACTTATTCAATTAGAGTCACTGCTGTATCGATGACCGAGTTTAAATAAGGAAATGACACTAAAACTCCCACAATTCAATGCGAGACCAATGTGTACCAATCGCATGCAGTTTTGTTCACGTTTTAAGTGGTTTACCATGAATTTGATTTAAGATACACACATTTTGGATTGGAATTGTCAGTGTACTATATAAAGAGAGCTTTGCATTGGTTCAGGCAGAGAACTGATTAAGCTCATTCAGAATCACTAATATCAATGATAG